GAATATAAAGAGCAGTTAGGGAGGCATGAGGGGCCCAAGGAGTGCCCAGCCTCCCTGGCAGATCTAGCCTAACAAGATATGCAGGTAGATCTCACTGCACTTAATAGTGCAGGGAACACAGCTGTCGGTGCCCTCCACCCTTGCACCCCCAGCCCTGCCTGGTCACCCTTGGGGAGATGCCGAGATGCCTCACCTTAAGCAGAACCCACAGCCAGGAGTGCCGGGTGTGTCTGAAATCCGGCCCAGATTTATAGATGTGGGCATCAGAAAGGCGATCTTGCCCCTCCACAAAAGAAACCCTCCCACAGATGCCAGTGCAGCTGGCCTGGGCAGTCGCCTCTGGAAGCAGGCATTTGCCCATGCTACAGAAGCTGAGCCTTAGCCCTGCTGTTCAGGGGACCTGTACGAGGTCACAAAGATGCATCGTCCCTGTGATGAGCCTGTCCCTTCACATAAAAATGACCAAGCCTATCATTATGTTGCCAGTACTGCTAGCAATAGAACAGAAAATAATAGACTCTTGTATTATTACTTAAGTGAGAGGGTGAGTCTGTCTTTTTTTTTTTTTTTTAAAGATTTATTTATTTGTACATACAGAACTGGGGTACAGGCCAGAAGCTCAGGGGAGGCGAGAGGCTTCACCAGAGACAGAGTGGGGAACAGAACAGGCAGATTGGACAAAGTACACTGCTGAGGGGAGCAGCGGGCGGGTCAGGAGAGGTCTGCCACGCCATGTGGTCACCTCCAGGGCAGGCGGGAATCGAACTCATGCGGAAGTGGCTTTAGATTCTCAGTGCTGTGCTTTAACCCGCTGCGCCACCAGGGAGGGCCGAGTCTGTCTTTTTTTTGAAAGAGCAGTGACCCATTAGTCTGTGTAGGACAGTGGGGACAGGCAAGGCAGCTGAGTCTCTGCACAGCTCCGCAGTCGAGAGACCAAAGGTGGCTTCATCACCCACAGGCTCATCCAGGCCTCTGAGAAGAGTAAAAGCTGAGGTACCAGCCCTGGAGATCACTCCTTTTTGCTTCTTTCTGCCACCTTGGGGGCTTCAATACCTGCAATTAAACACTAGGTTGGGAATTTAATTTTCTCTCTAGTTTGGACTAGAGTTTATAATTCTGCCTCTTCTCCCGTTTCCTAAAGTCAATTAAGATCACAGTAATTTGGGCCCTTCCTGGTGGCGCAGGGGGTTAAAAGCACAGCACTGGGAAGCTTCTGCATGAGTTCGATCCCCGCCTTCCCCCAGAGGTGACCCACATGGCACAGCAGACCTCTCCTGACCCGCCCGCTGCTCCCCTCAGCAGTGTACTTTGTCAGTTGGCCTGTTCTACTCCCCAGTCTGTCTCTGGTGAAGCCTCTCACTACCCCTACACCTCACACCTCTGGCCTGTACCCCAGTTCTGTATGCATAAACAAATCTTAAAAAAAAAAAAAACAACAAAGATCACAGTTATCTACCAGAAAAATCAGGACTATGGACCTTCTTGGATCCAACCTCGAGGAAAAGAGATATATTCTCATGAAATACACCAGAAGTAATCATTATTTCTAAAAACTCAAAGCCAGCAATCTCTCAACATTTAAACTTTACAGTCTAATAGCATTCGAGCCACAGGATTAAACATAACCAAACAACGCAGAGTAACAAATATTAAAGATGTTGGAACACAAAAACATCAGAAGCAGCACTAGAAATATGCTGAGGTCGCCGTTTAATTAATCCAAGTTGAACATATGGCTCTGGTTACATTGGTTCCAGGCTAGAGGCACGAGAGCCAGCATTTGTGGAGAGCCAGGAAGAAAGGCTGCCAATGCCCTGGACGAGGGAGGGTCCTGCCGCCCCGGACTGACACCCCAGTTTCTGTGTCCTCCCCTGGGCTGCACCCAGTACTCCACCCTCTTGCTTCAGTCCTGCACTAGCCCCATTCTCAAAACCCTGTAGCTGCAGGATGGTGTGTTCTTTCAGTGTGTGAATGTCGTCTTGTTCATTTTAGGCTCCGAGGTATGTACTATGGAATGATCACGTGAAGGACTAAACACACAAATGGAGGGAGACAAAGAAGCATGGCTCAACGGAGGAACTTGCTCTTTCCAGAAAATTTTTGATGACCTTATAGAGAACTGGTAGAACATAAAGTCATTTAAGTTATTAGAAAAGGTGAGAGGTTGAGTCAATGTCTTTTGATTGGAACCCATTGTTTCCTTCCAACATAATGGGATTTATTTTAAGGCCAAACGTAGAGAGTAAAGGCTGCAGATAAAATGACAGGTGTAGTGGCAGCCCAGGACAGAATATGTGGCTCAGCCTGTTGGGAGCAGTAGGAGCTTCACAGAGCCCTGGACGCAGCTCAAGAACCATGATGACTTTCAGGATCAAACACAGCTCAAACAAAAGAGATTCCATCTCCTAGCCAGCTCAGCAGCAGGGTCTGACCCTCCTTGCCGCCACACTCTGCCACTGGGGCAAGTCAGCTCCCGGTTCTGCCCCTGCTGCTAATTCATGGTTTCTCTCCTCAGGACCTGAAATACCTGCCTTGTCTCTGTCTCCTCTAGGACTAAGTATTCCCTCTAAGTCCCCTCATCAAGTTTGCCAAGATAAAGGATCTGACTGATGTAGCTGGGCTGAGTCTTTACTGGAAAACCAGAGTGAGCCAGGCATACAGCTCAGGGTAGTGGGCCCTCATCAGACATAGCATGGTTCAATGTGCGTGGAAGGCCAGAGATTACAAGGAGTTAAGGGCTGAGTTTGCACACGTGTCTGCATTGCTAGTGTTTCACACAATCACAGAGACTTCTTTTACTCTCTGGGTGTCATATATACATTCCACCTAGAAAAGAAAATCAGTTGGGTATTAATGCAAATTTCAAACCAGTAGTGGACTGGTGGGGACTATAGCAGAAGAGTAACATGAAACCTTGACAAAAGATGGTGAGTTTGTGCATTGATTTAATTAATTTGTTAATGACAGCATATGGAGGGTGACAAAGCTGAAAAGAGGGTATGAAAATAAAGATCTTGTATGCTCAGAACAAAAAGGAAGGCTGCAGGAAGACTGCAAAAGCAGAGACAAAGGTGGCTTTACTGCCCATGAGGCAACACAACCATAGCATTTGGGGTTGTTTTTTTTCTACCAGAGAGAAATACTTTGCATCACTACTAAACAGGAAGTCATTTACATTTTAGCTGTTTCTGCACAGTATCATCTGATTTTTACAGTTATGAACGTTTGGACACCAATAAATAGTCAACAGTAAGTCAAATACTTTCCCCTAGAGAGATAGATGACCCCTTGATGGGGTTATCAAATATGGACTTAATATTGAGATCAATATAATTAATCCCCCCACCGTTTTTAATAATGCCTCTTAACAGAGGGAAAAATTAAAGTTTTACTTCAATGGGTATTAAGAAGGGGAAATAATGGTGACGGTGGGTGGCAGCAAGCCCAAGGAGTGTGGGCACTAGGAGCTACCTGGCTTGGCAGCTCACCAGCAACGTGATCTTAAATCTGATCTCAATGGACCTCACTGTTCTCATCCCCCAGATAGGGTTACTGGACGGCAATGTGGCAAGACTTTGCTCTAAAGGTCATTTTCAAAATAAGAAAATTCACACACACACACACACACACACACACACACACCCATGACCCACACTAGTCCTGACAGAGAAAGGGGAAGGGGAAAGACACAGAAGCAATTTCTGTGCAAACGTCCCCAGGCTGGGAGAGGATCCTTTAGATCGCTCTCTCGAGAAGCAGCACGCACTCACGCATACTAGTAAGAAGCACGTGAGATCAGAAGAGAGACTTCTGCAAGAACAAGTTTCCAGGCGTTGCTTCTTTAGTGGAGTGTGAGACAGGATGCTGAAGTCGATCACGTATCTCTATCAAAAGTCAGCGGGCTCGCTCTCCCACCACGCTGGAGCCCCTGAGACCGCGCATCTGGGCGGCTACACTCCCCTGCGGGACTCAGCGCTCTCAGCCTCGCGGTCAGACCCGACTAGGCGGCACCGGCACCGGAAACGCCCGATGGGCAGAGATCACCCGCCCCCCCTTCCCCCTCTTTCCCTGCCCTCTCCCCCCGCCCCCCACCACCACGTGCTGCCTGGTGGGCTCTGAGCCAGAATCTCCCCCGGGTAAGTGTATGAATGAGCCACCCTTGTTTTGTTAAACATGCACTCTACAGTTTCAGGGAACACTTAACCGTTGCCATGGGCGTTTTTTGTTTAGACAGAAGCTGGGACAGGCTGACTCTTTCTGGCTTTGCGCTGCAGATTGTGAGTGCAGAGTCCCTTCACTACTTGATCCTACAAGGGTGGAGGGCCGCACCCACCAGGGGCCGCACCCACCATGTCACCATGCCATCTAATCTTGCAAGAGCCTGGTATTGGCTTTAGGTTAGGCTTGAGCCACAGGCTCCCTTTTTCCTACTAGGTGAGGTGAGAAAGAATTTTGGAGGTGAGCAGCTTCCTGCTTATGCCACTGGGACTGCTTGAACACACCTTTTTTCTTTTCCAGAGTAGCTGGAACTGTGCACACTGTCCTCTGTTGGCTCCTGGTCCAGCTGGGACCAGACCCACAAAAGACCAACAATGAAAATGAGCTCTCTCCACAGTAAAGTCACATGGGCTTCCCAGCAAGAGCAAGCTGGGAGCTAGGGGACCAGAAGGACTGCAAGTGTTACAGGGCAGGGACAGAGTGGCGTCGCTGAACCCCCAAACCTGCCTGCTCTAAATAGGTTCTGCCATCTGCCATATCAAGACAAAACATGTAAGACTTCAATGAAAAGGAACTTTAATACAAGGAGTATGCAGCACAGAAGACAAAGAATATAACTTCTAAATCAAACACCTGAAGTTTCCCATCCCCTTGTGGGCAAAAGTCCACCCAAAAGTGATTGGCCCAAAACAAGTGTTTTGCCCCAACTTCTGCGACTGGGCCCGCAAGAGAGGAAGGCGGGAAGCAGAAAAGCTGAGTAAGCAGAGTTTATTGCTCTCAGACAGCAGCCGAGACATAGCCCAAGAGTAGGGTCCGCAGCTACTGCCAACCCAGTAAGGGGAAAGGGTCTCTTATATAGATTCTAAACTCAGATTCCAAAGGGTGACTCATCGCTATGTCCTTGATGTGAGGCCCAGTTCACTGTCACCTTCAGCTAGTCCCATCCAGGATGCAAGGTCAGTTTACTACCACTTTATCAAGCTTGGATGCAAGGCTCAATTCTTTACTTCCCTAATTCAGTCCTTGTCAGTAAATCTTTGGTCACTCCCAACAGCAAGGCCTGAAAGCCAGGCACAAGCCTGAAACTTCTACTGGCCAGGACCCATAGAAAAGGGTCAGAAATAGTCAGACAAGTCTGGGAGGAAAAGAGCAAAATCAAGATAAACACTGCCATTGTCAAGTTCCCCATGGGTATCTCACCCACATCTCTTTCAACCAGTCCAGGACCAAGAAACAAGCACGGTTTCTTCATCACATGCTCCCGGCTCAAAGTGGCTTCCTCAGGTCTCCTCTGGCTCTTCATCCATCTTCCTTCTTCCTTAGATTCCTTCTCTTCTCTCCTTTTCTCTGCTCAGCTCCACCCTCCCTCTAGGTAGGGCAGGGAACCTGGAACTTCCCCTTTTCCTAGGGACCAGCATGTTAAACAAGGAGGTCTTTGGACCTGAAGAAAGGGTTCTCAAAGCTGAGCAAGATCCAGCCTCTGCTTGGCCATGGATTTGGTGAGCACCATGGGCCTCTGGGGCAGGCACTTCTGGGCTCAGGAAGGACTGGCGCATCACTAACCCCTGCGCTCCATCCATTCAATGCAGGGGGTTCTCCCTCATCTTTGTGACAACCCAAAACGCCTCCACCTATGTCCAAATACTCTTTAGAAAGTTAGGTGGAAAACCACTGTTAGATCATTCCCCAAACTATCTTTCAAAAGACATTAATAAGTTCCTTGAGATATGAGCAGGTGTAATATGAGAAGACTGCGATGGTAGGTATTGTACTGGGTTTGGGAAATAGTGGGTTAAAGAAAAGGGAACTGATACCTGATGTAAAATATACATAAATAAAAAAATAATTTTTAAAAAAAGGGAACCAAGTTTCTTTACGACAATACTTCTCAGAATTGTGTGTGTGTGTGTGTGTGTGTGTAGAGTTACCAGTCTTGGTCTTTGGGATTCCATCTGGATCCACCTTGGATAACTCCTGACTATATTACGCACCTCCTAGGGGTGTTTGTATCCTGCACAGAGGTGAGTGCTCACAAGTTCTTTGTGTTTTTACTGAATTGAAAGACCTTCAGAATCTAGCAAACCAAATATGTGACGCTAACAGGAAAGAGATCAGAGTGTCCGGAAACCACTGCACAGATGACCTCACAAAGAAACCAGTGTGGCGGGCTCCTTCAGGGCTCCAGGGGACGCACCCTGCCGGAGAGGGAGCAGGCTGTGGCGCCTTTGGCTGTGTGCTTCCGGGAAACTAAAATAGCCCGGATGGTTAGAAGAGAAATATGTGGGGTTGAAATTATTCAAATGCTGACAGATGGATTGAAGGTCCCTCTCCTGTTGGCCTGGCAGCCTTTGAGTGGAAAGCCTTGCCCTGGCCGTGGGTCCTGCCAGCTCTGGTAAGATGCTGGAAATATAAGCCCAGGCAGCTCTTCTGGCAGTGAGTTACAGCAAACCAACAGCCCCAGGGCAGAGGGGTAGCTGCAGCCAGGAGACTTGCTGAGCTGAGCAAGGTGCAGGACTGTCCTGTTGTGCAAAATACAAAGAGCAGAGTGTTCAGGTGGAAGGATCAGGTTGTTCCAATTGGAGGTCTGAGCGGTGCATGCTGAGCTTTGCACTTTGCTCCAAGGTCAGTGGGTACAAAAACCTGCCTATTCCCATGCAGGAAGATGCCACCCAGCCTCCCCAGGGTGAGGGAAGGAGGCTCTGCCATGCCCTGTGAAAGACTGGTGAGCAGCCCAGTGACTGTGGGGAGCCCAGCACCTCGCCATAGCCTCCCAGGCCTGGAAATGTGGGTTCTGCTTTCCAAGTGTGCTCGGTGCTAGTAAAACATCTCTCTGAATGGTTCTAAGTTGCTGGCTTCTAAATTTTTCCAGCTTAGCTAGACTGGCCAGTGCTGAAAGCCCTGTGTTCA